ACGGCGTATGCGCGCAAGTTCGTGAAAGGTCGCGCGCGCTCACACACGAGGCAGAAAGGTAGGGAGGGGAGGCGATATAATGATGAGGGAGGTCTCGCAGAAAATTAATTACGATCGAAGCACGATGGGCTGCTTCATGAAACGTGACGCGTATTTGCTTTCGGTATATAACGTCTGCATTGTGGAATGTGATTTTTTCTTCGCTCTTTTTCTTTCTTATCGATGTATTGAGAAAGTGTCTGTCGAGCAGCGCTTTGTGGGCTACTTTCAGCTGTGAAGCTATTTTTAATTATCGTATGAAAATTACGGATGAATGTTGCGTTGAAGTTTCATATAATACGATAGTCAGTTGAACAATTTCCTTTATTTCAATAACGCTAAAAATTTCTGGCCTCTTTAGTTTAATAATTTTAGCGCATTAATCAATTAACCTGTGCCTTTAGCGTCGTTAATTTCTAATTACTATCTAATATACAATTATAATAATATAATGTGAGAAGGACAATTTTTTTTTTTGTAAATTCTTTGATACGGTATAATTGAAGAAGGAAAAGTGTTTATCGCTTTCACCTCTTACTTCCATAATAATACGAATTAATATTAATTGAAATATTTAGTTTACTTTATATTCTTCCGCTGAATCGAGCTGTATTATTCCCAGTATTATTAACTCTGCTAATATTGTACTTCCAAGAATCTGGCTTTTATTAAAGTAGATTTCGTCAATTATAACTCTAACAATGAAGGCTTACTAAGCCGATATTTGTAAGGCATTGTGCCGAAAAGATATATGATAATAATTTTACATTACAGCTTTCATTTAACTTTCATTATAGCAATAGCCGTTATTATAGAAGTTAACATTGCTTTACGTTATAAATAAATAAATAAATTAATTAACAAATCAATTTTATTGTAATATCGTAGAGGTAACAGATTGAAAAAATGACGTCTAGACAAAATTCAGAAAAACTTGTGAACCAGATGGAGACGTTCATCGAGAATGTTCGGCAAATCAATATTATGGTGTGCAACTTTCAGCCCCAAGCTCAGCACATTCTTAATCGGAAGATCCAAAATATCGTTACGGATTTGCAAGTGATTAATAATCTGAAGGACTCGGTGAAAGATATGCGGATACCAGTGGAAGTACTCAAGTACGTTGACGCTGGGCAAAATCCTCATTTGTTCACGAAGGACTGCATTGACAAGGCAATGATTAAGAATCAGGAGCTAAAAGGCAAAATTGACTCGTACAAGAAATTCAAGGCCAATATGCTGCTCGAGATCAATAAGTATTTTCCGAAAGAGGTTGAAAAATATCGAGCTATACGCAACGACAATAATGACGATTAAAGTGACAGTATTGAAATTACACAAACGTGGTAATGCAGATTTCAACACTAATTAATTAATCATATTAATCAAACAATTTCCTTCAAACTCTTATCCTAGTTAATTTAGACACGCAACGATGATAATGCGACAATGAAAAGTTTTTATGCGATTTTAATGTTGGCATTAATTTTTGTCTCAGCAACAAATGCTATTGTTGTCGCTATGCGATCACGACTTATTTTATAAATAAAATATTATCTCACGATAACTGTTGTTTATAATTTTTTCATTTTCAACGATTTTCTGACCTAACTCATACCGTCATAAGCCTAATAATCTTACATAATTATACTAATATCACTTGCTTAAGCGTTCGCCAAATCAATAACAATATATGTTAGTGCACATTCTCAGTCGAAAATATTGTAATATCAAATTGTACAATCGAGTAATATTCATTATGTCCTTTAATCGTTTAATCAGTTATTATACGATTACGAAACTGAATCTTGCAATAATAAGGGCTTAGACGTCGATGTCGATAAGTCAAGCGAATGAATATTTAATCAGCCATCTTTCACGATTAAGTGTTTTCGACTAAATTTTAAATGCCAACATTACCAACAGAGCCACCTGCATAATCGTATTAACAATTATAATGTCAATATTCCCTTCTCAATCAAGCGCCATTACAACTACTCGTCTATTAAAATTACCCATATTGTTTGCGATTTTTATAACACTCGGCAAACTAATTTCACTCTCTCACTCTCTCACTCTCTCTCACTCTCTCTCACTCGCTCACTCACTCTCTCTCTCTCTCTCTCTCTCTCTCTCCCTCTCTGGGTGTGTGACGGTATAACAACATAACATCACGGCAAAATACATGAATAATGGCCCGTGCAAATCGGGGCTCCCGATCGCTCCATTATTATGCCAAGTCGTCTCACAATTATCATAAGCTTTAAAACAATAAGCCAGTGCCGGCGATAAACCACTCGCACGTCGTTTAAATCATGGCACCAGAGTCACGAGGTTGCAAAACAAAAATTGAAATAATACCGGCCGGCATAAAGTCCGCGCTGCGTTCTAATATTAGTCGATCTCCCCCGACGCGTAACCAACGCATTTACAAGCTCTACGGCGGTGGTCCTACTCCACCCGTGTCCCACCCTCCCCCACCGCGACCGAATAAAAGTGATTTGTAAGGGGAAACACTTGCGCGCCCGAGCTTACTATTCTCACGGGCTAGGTCATACGGCCGTTTCGCGGTAAGTTAGCGGACGATGGGGAGGAAGCCGACAGACGACTCCTTCTGCACCATGATTCTGCCGACGCTAATGATAGATTCGTCCTTGCCAGTCATTCCGATCTTACGGTAATTTCGTCCTGTTCCAACAAACTCATTTCATCTCGCGCGACTATCGACCCGTTGTATGACAAATGCAATAAGATTCTGCCGGGCACAAGCTTCCAATCGGCGCTGGCATGGAGTGATTTATGTTGTGTTTACTTGTATTACAGGACACGCCAACTAACTCATCTACAACTGTCCAATACTCAATGATGCATATTAATAAAATTCTTTATCGTGTTATAATTGTTTACTTTGGTGGTATTGTAAATTTATAATTATCGAGATTTATAATTATCGAGTGAGATAGCGCCACAGTCACAAGGTATTTATCATTAAATATTTTACGTCCTGACAAATAATGTTTCTTTAAATAACCTATGGAGCATATAGTTTGGAATATTCTTGTATTTAAAAATGATTTAAATATTACATTAAATTAAATTATCGAGAAAAATATCGGATGCATATATAGGATTAGGAAATATTAAGAATAAAAGCATTTAGAGTGTTTTTATTTAGAAATAAAATTATTTTAAAATATAATTAATGCAACTTATTTTGTCGTCTGAAAATGTAATAAATAAATAAATAAATAAATAAATAAATAAATAAATATATATATATATATATATATATATATATATATGTCTATATACACTGTATAAATTAATTATATTATTACGTGTATTAAATGAATTGCTGGATGCCAAATATCTTGTAGGACTTTGTATTACTGTAAATATATTTCAATTAAATAGTATTTTCAAAACGGCAATACACATTCTTGTTGAATTTTTCAATCTTTTAAACGAGGAGTCTTGTAGAGATAATATTATTGGTTCATTGATATTATTCATAATATTTCTCGACAAATTATATTTTTAAGTGAAATGAAATAGACTTCTTTCTGAAATTTCTCAACAACTTTTTTTATATAAACATGTCAACACAATAGTTATTTTATTTATAATGCCAATGACAAATTGGTTATTATTTATTGTATGAAAATTTCTTATATAAAAGATCTTACGCTAGTATTATCGATGTTTATAGAAAGTCATTAATATTTTTTTTGTTTTTTGTTTTTGTAATATATATACTTGCGTGTGGGCGCGCAACTACGTATGCATGCATATACGTATAAATGTGTATTTTACGATAATACGAATTTTCGAAAAATTTTTATTAATAATGCGATTGAAAAATACTTTACGCGAACGCAGACGTGCGCGTATAGCTTTTAAAGATTGATAATAGAAGAAAAGTTTTTCGTTAAACTTGGCAATATTCATTGTAAATTTTGAATATTTGCAAAGAAATCGAGTACACCAAAATGAAAAAGCTTCTGTGAAAAAGTTTCTTAATAAATTAATGCCGACGAGCCTACTTTATTTTTAAGTGAATTCTCATTATATGCGCACTGGCTCAATAGCGATTCAATAAATTCAAATGAAAAGATGAGAAGAGAAAATGGAAAACTACTTAAGCATTGTCGGCGGTAGAGTCGAATGCTGTACATCACGTACCGAAGGCTTCGAAGGACGTGTACGGACCATATTTGGATTGGTATCGTCGACACCACGACTCCAGGATCGACCGGCTTAACGCGGCCAAAGGATCTCACGTGTGACTGTGCTAAACAAGAAACGAATCCACTGTAATTGTAATAACAGTGCGACCAGCGTAGCTGGACAATTGCGAAAGCCCCATCCAGAGATAGAGAGACACGAAGGAAGGATGATCCCATTGGCGCCGGAACGTGACCGGCTTCCCTCGACTCCCCCGGAACACGTGCAGCCAGATTTTTCGTCTGCCACGTATGCGGTTATTAATCGAGCCCTCGAGCCGACGTCCTAACCGGCCCGGATCTCCGACCAAACGACCTAACCACCGTCGTTTATTTGTTTTGCTGCGAGGCGCCACTGACAAGACTTCACAGCTATTTCGCAACACCATCCCGCCCCACGCCCCGCTCCCTTCCTCTATGCTCGATTATACGCCCTTGGCTTAACCTTGCCAGACACCTCCGCATAGACACATCCCCTGCCGCAACAATGTCCTTTGGATAACGAGGAACTAGCGGAGCACGAATTATGGAATGCGCGCACTTGTCCCATTTGATAACATTCGATGGCCTCGGGTTGCGTTGGGCGAATCAACAATCAGCCTCACGTCAGGAACAATCGCTCGAGAATATCTGTATTGTATATTGCCGTATCGATTGGCCCTCGCCACTCTTTATTGTCGTATAAAAGAACTTTCTCCAAGTTCGAGATCCGCCGAGGCCTTAAACATTGCCACCCACCCCGAACATTACGCGTGGTATTCCAAAGTTTTTAATTTATATGGCGAAGGAATTTTGAAGCGATTTTATAAAATTCCTGTTTCAGCCGAAGGAAATTTCAAATACGGATAAAATTTACAACAATTTCTTTTTACTTTTATAGGACTTTTACCCGATATTTCGAATAATAATATGTTTGCGAGTTTTAATAGTGGATTTGAGAATTCGATGTTCCAGATAAATGGCATGGATTTTTTCATTCCTCGTTGGTATGTTTTCCATTAGGGATGTTTATACATTTTATGTAAAATATGCGAAAATTAAACTAACATTAAAAAACTTTTCTTCCTTGTGCATTTATGTGGCATATATTTAATTTGTTTTGTTTTGTTTTGTTTTGCTTTTAAATACTTTAAGGAAACTCTTAAAGTTGCATTCTTTAATAACGATTGTTCCTTTAGTGTTAAAAGTTTTTTTTCTCTATCAGATGTTTTCCTTAATATTGTCTAAGTATAATGCATATAAGTAATAATGCATAATTCATTAATATTTTCAAATTTATAAGGAAAATTTTCATCTTAAATATCACAAATGACGTGAATTACAATAAATTATTAAGTAAAATGGACTCGTTGTTGAGGCACATTCAATGTTTTCTTCTAATTTTCGCTCAGCTTATGTATTTTATTGCTTATTTAAAGTATTTTAATATTAAATATTAAAACCTTCCTAACGTCACGAATATTCTTACAAATTTTAATTTCTTAAAAATTTACTCACTGAAAATATTTAATGTTACTATGGCATTAAAGAACTTATTGATTTTTCATAATATACCAATGTAATAATAATCCATTATTTTCTCGTAAATTTTAATTATAATCATTAGATGTTGCGTGTATATTAAAAACAGTTTAAATCTTAAATCACTGCCTTTAGATTTCATGATTAGTTGTTTTTTTTTTTTTTTTTTTTTTTTTTTTTTTTTTTTTCCACGAGCATAAAACCTATATTATGGGACAATTAATTTTGCTATAAGCTTATTTGAAACGTGATTTTAGGAAAATTTTATAAGTTACTAGTGCATATTAATATTTCGCTTAATTATATATTAATTGTATGCATCGATCCAAATCACTTGAAGATGCAAATGTTTTCATTATATTAAGTAAATTTGCTTCATTTTTACAAGTATACTCGAAATAGTAATAATCTTGAAATAAAAATCCTTAGAGTAGCAATATTATGATATATTATGATAATTGCAGGAGCCGTACTATTAAGGTTCAATACTCCATTATATTTATGATGCGTCAGGAATATACATTGATTACGATAAAATTAACAACCATACATGTTAACATTTATTTTGTTCATGATGCTTTTGACGAAAGAAAATTTACGCTTACCTTTGCACAGGAAATTTAACGACGAACTTTATCGACAGACACAAAGCAGATCGTGCACTACCATCTTACGCTCCCTTTCACTTTATTCCATATTATTTGGAGAATCTATTGATTATCAGATAGATTAATATTAAATGAAAAATCTAATGTGTAAAATTTGAAATGTTTAGAGAGAGAGAGAGAGAGAGAGAGAGAGAGATATTTTTAATTATATTATAAAATTAACTTTATAAGCATTTGGTAAGAACTGCATATGCCACTTCAACTTGAGTTGGATATTTCAAAAGTGTTGTAAATTACATCAAAAGCTATATACACAAATAATATAAATCAATGCCGGAGTTATAAAGCAAAGGACCGCTTCTCGCACGGAAATGCTTCTCGGCCATTGACGCCCATACATCCATCTTACAATTCACTTCTTACGATCCTTAACAAATACAGTGACGCATAAATTCATCATTGGCTGCCCTTGAAGCCAGTCCATCTAATACCCCAAGACATTGGTTATAGGGCACCGTGTCGGAGCACGGACCAGCGCTTCCTTTGTCGATGCGGGGTCGAGGCGAAAATGAAAATTGAGTACCAAGTGGCGGACGAAGTAGTCAGTCGTGCTTGCACGCAGTGATGGCCGATCGCCTCGTCTTAAGTGAATTAAGCGACTCGTGAGAGTAAGGTCGAGTCATTAGTGCGAAGCGCGCGGGGACCGACCCTTGGACCCAGCCATTACCCATACGTCTACGGTCTTCGTGCTTTCGGTTTACTCTATGACGGGAATGTAGTAGCCATCGCCACGACCACCACCACAACCACCACCATCACCATCGTCTCCTCCTATTCTTCCTCCTTACTACATTACTTCACGATACTTTCACGATAATGACAACTGAATGTCGTAAGAAAGAAGAGGCGAGACAAGTCCAAAGGCCGAGCTGTCATGTATTAAGATTTACATATTTAATAATACAGTGTACACTGACTATTACTCACATTAATAATTGCTCATACATTAGCGTATGGAATAAATATTTTCGAAATGTTGTCGCATTTTTATATTTTAATCAAGTTCGAAAAAATCTCACCAATAACAAATTGCTCTTGCTCAAGCATTTGTATCGATGTTTCTTATCGCAATGGAAGAATAATGAATGAATGAATTGCATTCCAACGTGAATCGAAACATCTGCACACGAACATATCGAAATATCTTTTAAAGACAGGCAAATTATTTAATAAATAAATTGATAAATTTCTAAATTTATCGATGATATACATTTATTTCTTCGTCTATTATGCATCGTATCATAATGAATAATACAAATTTATGTCCAACACACGTAATTAATCATTACTGTAATTAAGAATTAAACTTTCATTTCATTTCTTTGAAACACCTACCCAGTAAAAGAGAAGCTCTAATGAGTTGATGAGCCAATAATTCTGCAATTATACAGTCTTTTGCATTGCGAATGTAAAATAAAACTATTCATAAATTCATGCATTAATAAACATGCCAGCATTAATCAATTGTCAATTAGCTCTGGAATTTTTTAGCTTATGTAGTTTAAAAAGAATAAAAATCTAATATACGAAATTGTCATGAATTCTTATTATATTTTCTGGCCCCTGTAAACACAATATTAAATTGTAAATTGTAATATTAAATATACGTGTTTTATACTGATAGAAAAAAAAAAAAAGAAAAGTAGATATTACGATAGTTATTCATCTGAAAATCGTCAAATTAAATACCGTTTATAAAAGATAGAATGGAAAAGATTTTCCTTAATAACAATAAAATAAAAAAAATATATAATTTATTAAAAGATATATTGAATTTCAAATTAGTTACTAACCGTATACGTTTTTATGAAATTTCATTTTTATGAAATTTACCGAGGAACCCCTAAGAAAACGTTATATTTCGAGTAATCTCCGTAATTCTGAAATATCTCAGAATAGAAATCACATTAAATCATTAGAATTTTCATTGTCATTAGAAGGCAATTGTTAAAAAGAAAAGTAGAGAAATATTTCTGAAAAAATCACCATATTATACTTAATACAATTTTCACCCAACGATTTCAATTGTGAATATATACGAGTAAATTAACGAATACTATTAATCCAGTGAATAACGTACCGATCGTCCTTAAAATTATGTAGTTAACCGAGAGATTATATATTTACATGTAATTCGGCTTATTAAGATGAGAACGGGGCACGCGCGGATAAATTTATCGCGAGTAGTGGTAGTGGTAGTGGTAGTGGTAGTAGTGGTAGTGGTAGCAATAGTAATGGTAGTGGGAGTGGGAGTGGTAGTGGTAGTGGTAGTAGTGGTAGTGGTAGCAATAGTAATGGTAGTGGGAGTGGGAGTGGTAGTGGTAGTGGTAGTAGTGGTAGTGGTAGCAATAGTAATGGTAGTGGGAGTGGGAGTGGTAGTGGTAGTGGTAGTAGTGGTAGTGGTAGCAATAGTAATGGTAGTGGGAGTGGGAGTGGTAGTGGTAGTGGTAGTAGTGGTAGTGGTAGCAATAGTAATGGTAGTGGGAGTGGGAGTGGTAGTGGTAGTGGTAGTAGTGGTAGTGGTAGCAATAGTAATGGTAGTGGTAGTGGTAGTATATTTGTAGTATTATATCAACATTTGAAAGCATGTGTGCGTTTGTTAGGAGGGCCGCTTGTTTTCGCGAAATGTTGCAACTGCCATTTCTGCTGCTCTCGGGAGTTGTTGGACGTTTACTGCCGAGCACTTCAAAAGACCCCAATTTTCGAAATAACATTCGCGCCGAGACCAATCGAACGTTTACAAACTAAACAGTGGGTACATGTGGCGGTTCGCCGCTACGTATGCCATTGTCGCTGCCGTTGCTTTTTCACAGAAAAGTACAACACCGAAGATAAATGACCGGGATGAAAGAAAGCTGACCAGCAGCCGTGAAAGGATACGGGCAAAGTGTCGGAGGGAAATTCGTTCTTTGACTGCGCCAAATCAAATTTATGCGATAGCCATATGTTAGCTGGCGCTGTAAAATGCCGGCTTTTATGATTTGCACAATTGTGCTAATTTGACATTGATTATGGTCTGCGTAATAGAAGAAATTGCCATTGGACGGCTCGAAGAATATATTCAGCGACGTGTCAATGCATTATTGAAATTCATTATAAGACAATCGGGAGATTTTAATTTCACCCACTGTCCGCTTTCACTGAATGAACCTTATAATGTTTAACTATTAAGCCAGGATGCGATATTAATGTGAAAAATAATATCAGCTTAATCGCTAACTTAATAAAGTATCGAATATCATTAAAGTGCGTTGGGTAGTGTGCAATGAACATACATGAGCATACGATGAGTGACATCTCGCTACTCGATCCACTTATTAAATTCTTTCAACGCTCTTCTACGCGGCGACTGTACCAATGAACTTTGTGGCAACGAAATTTTATTGGCGCAAAAGAATTGATAATGTTACTTCATAATGTAATCTACAAAAATATTATACGCTCGGAGTAGCAGGAATAAAGTACAATAAATGCCATTACAAATGCCTATATACAAGGCCAACTCGCGCGATAAGTACATTTTATTGGCGCATTAAGATTATCAAAAGATGATTTGATTGTAATTGCTGAAATGTTACGCGCATAAAAGTTTATGACCATTAATATTGGCATTTCCTTATCTTCGATACAACGGTATTTGTGTCAAAATTATATTGTCGCGTATCGATAATACCGACCGTTTATTATTGGAATTCTGTAACGAATTATTTTTCATCCCAAATTCTCGCCTTCTTTATTGCACACCGACATTTTACATTTTCAACCACAAACAGTCAAGCACACGAAAGTCCATCGATAAAAACCGTCTTGAGCGACGATACATTTTGACGACGCATTTCCCAAGAAAAGCAAGGCTCGCGCAAAGTAACGCGATCAATTTTACAACGATTTTCGCGCGATTTAGAAGTCGACAGTAGAAAATTAGCACCGTAAGCTCAATTCTCACGAAGCACAAAAGTAACAGCTTACCTCGGCCGGGGGAAATGAATTACAAAGCCAGAAGTAGCGAAAAAAAGAAGTTGGCCGCCGGTTTATTTACTTTTATGCGGAACCAAGTGCTTTCACACAAGTGAGCTCATACCATTGTGAATAGAGAAGAGCAGAGCAGAGAGAGAGAGAGAGAGAGAGAGAGAGAGAGAGAGAGAGAGAGAGAGAGAGAGATAGAGAGAGAGAGAGAGATAGAGTGCGACTTGCATGGATAATTGTTATACGAGTGACCTCACTCGAGTGTTCCTCCTCCGTCGCGATTTGTTGTTTTTTTTTTATCTCCTTTTTCAAACTATCACCCCTTTTTAGCGCCCTCCAAGAGAATTGACTGCTAAGCAAATGATTCGATCAGCACGCGAGGCTGACCTCCAAAAAGCAAACCCGACTGGATTATTTTGCCCATGTAACGATGCACCAGTATTTTCCATGCTGGATCCTTTCCGTTGTTTGGCAATTCCGTCTGCTCCGTAAATACATGACGTTTATTCGGGCGCGCCGGTAAGTCGTTTTGTAACTGTAATGAAAATAAAAAGGCTGAAATCGAAAAATGCTTTTTTAAAAATATATATTCCCTGACAGACAATAGGATATTTGCTCATTTTTCATCTCAATTGAAACAATGTGCATTTTCACGTAGACGTTTAAGTTATTTGACAATGGCATAGGCCGGCGAAATAACAGTTTAACTAGTGCATTTGTGATGGAGCTGGAACAAAGCATAATTTCCTCTCCTTTTTCATTGAATTCATCAGGGCATTCGTGCGCGTTTATCTTGGAATAACGTCGATCGATTTCCTCTTGTGATTCTGCAAATCGATGGGTTCGTCAAAATTTAAACGATACCTCATTCTATTTCATTGTCGAATAATCTTCCAGTTGTTTTCTTTAAAACTAACGAGTGTCATTAAAGCCTTAATCATTTATTATACGAAGGTATAATTGAAAGCGCATGACACTATGGCATTATAACGCCTTCCATTAATATTATTACGATATTCTTGTTTTCATATTGGGAAAAATATATAAATTTCCTTAGTCGTATTAATGGGAAGAACTCGTTGGTACTATCGCGCGTTGCATATATTGACACGAGCCAAGCTTAACGCTGCATCCATCTCTATTTACGGAGATATTTTATTTCTCATTACTTTCATTAAAGATATTATTATCCACGGTCGAGTGTATTATTTTATCATATCGATTATTATATCTCCCAAGTTGTACGACTCGAATCTTAAACACATAATCGTTCAGCATAATCGTTCTCTAACGTTCTCTTATAAGATGATTATTCTATGCATTTGATACAATTTTAGGTAAATTTAATTTGTTTTCGGATGATTTAGCATTGTAATTTAGAGCTACAACAATTATAATATTCCTTATTAATTATATTGATAAAATTATAGCTCCTTCACATACAAAGATGAGACATTATAGGTGCAGTTGTCATTATGACACTTGTTGCCACTCTTGTATTTACAATTTCAAATATTAGTCATTTTGTGTAGTGAAACGATTTCATTTAACAGTAAATGTATGTCTATAAAAGTATTTAAAAAAATTTCGAGTATATCCAGCTATAATATTTACGTATTACTTAATTTAATCGCTTTCATTATTGCGATATTAATTTATGCGATATTAACGAAACTTATGTGCTGTGCAGCTTTGGTTATTAGCGTATGAACGGCTTTTATATTTAGATAATTATATAAGTGAAAAAAAAAAAAAAATCTCGATAGAATAAGTAAAATGCATAAAGTTTGCAGATTTCTGCAACATAGTTACGTGTATAAACAAATTCAAAACGCACACTTAGATTTATAGTCAGCGTTTCCTAATACAGAATACATTTACAATTCGATTGCAAAATGCAAATTATTAAGTAGAGGATCGCACGAGTCCTTAATTATTTTCAAGCGTTATATTTAATGCTTTAATGACTCGTGCATTGGTGAAAGGGACAAAGAGAAACATTTTCTTATCCAGGGAACTCTTCTGACAACGCTGAAGCTGAAAAGCTCGTCTCGTTAGGTTCCCGTTTCGTCAGCACGGCACACGTGCGCTCTCACGCCACACAAAGTCAGAGAAGATGATTTACAAAAACAGAAAAGAGTTCACGAAGGAAGTATCTCTGGCGTGTTGGGCCCCAGGTAATGTAACTCCATTTATGTCTTTTAGTCACGCGACTTGACGCTCGAGAGAGTAACGCGCATGCGCGCTCGCCTTTTACCTCTTTATGTTAAATATTAAGCATCTATTTACGGAGATATTTTATTTCTCATTACTTTCATTAAAGATATTATTATCCACGGTCGAGTGTATTATTTTATCATATCGATTATTATATCTCCCAAGTTGTACGACTCGAATCTTAAACACATAATCGTTCAGCATAATCGTTCTCTAACGTTCTCTTATAAGATGATTATTCTATGCATTTGATACAATTTTAGGTAAATTTAATTTGTTTTCGGATGATTTAGCATTGTAATTTAGAGCTACAACAATTATAATATTCCTTATTAATTATATTGATAAAATTATAGCTCCTTCACATACAAAGATGAGACATTATAGGTGCAGTTGTCATTATGACACTTGTTGCCACTCTTGTATTTACAATTTCAAATATTAGTCATTTTGTGTAGTGAAACGATTTCATTTAACAGTAAATGTATGTCTATAAAAGTATTTAAAAAAATTTCGAGTATATCCAGCTATAATATTTACGTATTACTTAATTTAATCGCTTTCATTATTGCGATATTAATTTATGCGATATTAACGAAACTTATGTGCTGTGCAGCTTTGGTTATTAGCGTATGAACGGCTTTTATATTTAGATAATTATATAAGTGAAAAAAAAAAAAAAATCTCGATAGAATAAGTAAAATGCATAAAGTTTGCAGATTTCTGCAACATAGTTACGTGTATAAACAAATTCAAAACGCACACTTAGATTTATAGTCAGCGTTTCCTAATACAGAATACATTTACAATTCGATTGCAAAATGCAAATTATTAAGTAGAGGATCGCACGAGTCCTTAATTATTTTCAAGCGTTATATTTAATGCTTTAATGACTCGTGCATTGGTGAAAGGGACAAAGAGAAACATTTTCTTATCCAGGGAACTCTTCTGACAACGCTGAAGCTGAAAAGCTCGTCTCGTTAGGTTCCCGTTTCGTCAGCACGGCACACGTGCGCTCTCACGCCACACAAAGTCAGAGAAGATGATTTACAAAAACAGAAAAGAGTTCACGAAGGAAGTATCTCTGGCGTGTTGGGCCCCAGGTAATGTAACTCCATTTATGTCTTTTAGTCACGCGACTTGACGCTCGAGAGAGTAACGCGCATGCGCGCTCGCCTTTTACCTCTTTATGTTAAATATTAAGCATTTTATTTAAGCTTATGCAAAAAGGTGGCTTGTATGCTCCGTTGGGTGGTCGGGGGGAGGGGGAGGGGGAGGGGGAGGGGGGTGAGGTTAGGTAGGTTGGTAGATGAAGATGGGAGAGGGAGAGGGGCCTTTCAGTATAAAATAATGTAAGGGCATTACGAATCCCTCGAGGGACACCTCGTCCGTCTCCTTTTCTCCT